TTTTGCAGTACGCGGGCCTCTCACCGCTGCGGCCTCCCCCGCCGCGGAGCACAGGCTCCGGACGCGCAGGCCCCGCGGCCGTGGCCCACGGGCCCAGCCGCTCCGCGGCACGCGGGATCCTCCCAGACCGGGGCACGAACCCGTGCCCCCTGCATCAGCAGGCGGACTCCCAACCACTGCGCCACCAGGGAAGCCCCCTGAAAGGCATTTTTAAAGGAAATTCCAAACATGTTTTAAGCAGTGGCAATAATGTTTGGATAAATATCCTTTCGACACAATTACTCCAAAGAGTATACACTTTGGAATGTGTAGTTCTGGTGTAGTGACTCATTAAAAACTATCATATTAGTTTATAATGACATCTTGTATATAAGTATGTATAAAATTGACAGAGCACGTGTGAGAGAAATGTAGCTAGTTAGAAATTTGGATGTCTATTCAGTGTGATTTTTGTTTTTTTTTTATGGAGGGAAAAATCTCAAAAGGAGAGACACATGAGAGGTTGAGACCACCAAAGTGCCTCCCCAAAATATACTATAGCAGAAATGGAGGAGAAGCCTGTACCAGACTGTTTTGCACACACAGCTACCTCCTTGTAGGCTTTTCAGTTCAAGGAAAAGGTGCTGAGTGGCCAAGCCACGGCTGCCAGTCAACCTTACCTGCTCCAACTCGTAGGCCTTGGCTTTGTCCTCATCGCGGTCAGCATTCTTGCGGTAGGCCATACCCAGGCCCCACACGGCCAGGATGCTGTAGATGTTATCCCGCACCCAGGCGTCCTTCTGCTCATGACTGGCTGACAGCAGCCCCGTGACAGGATTCTATCAGAGAAGAGACAAAACAATTCAGCACCGCCCTTCACCTAGCTCCTGGGCAATGAACACTCACCCTAATCGGGGCATGAGGGCTGGGACGAGAAGTGAAGAGACCAGCGTTCCAGTCCTTGCCCTGCCACCAACAGTGTGATCTTGGGTGAGAAGTGACATCACTTTTTCTAGGCTTTGGTTTTCTCATCTGTATAATGAGGATATTAGACTAAAAAAATCTCTGAGGGATCTTCTAACTTGTGAGTACTTGTTCTTTTGCTTTCAGACCAGACCATACTGTTTTAAGTAACAAAGAGAAGAAAGAGCAAACAGAAAAAGCCTTCAAGGCTTTTACAAATCTGTGCATTACAGAATTAGATCTTCCTCTCCCTTTGTGTTTCCACACCATTTGGTAAAGCACTGAACATGGGAGCAAGAGGCCCCACTCTACCACTCTAGCTCTGTGTGACCAGGGAAGCCGCCTACCTTAAAAAGGAGGTGCCGAGCAGGGGGGGCCATCAGGGGCTTCCCTGGTGGTACAGTGGTTGGGAATCCGCCTGCCAGTGCATGGGACACGGGTTCCAGCCCTGGTCCGGGAAGATCCCACATGCCGCGGAGCAACTAACGGACTTCCCTGGTGGTACAGTGGTTGGGAATCCGCCTGCCAGTGCAGGGGACATGGGTTCGATCCCTGGTCCGGGAGGATCCCACGTGCTGCGGAGCAATTAAGCCCGTGCGCCACAACTACTGAGCCTGCACTCTAGAGCCCGCGAGCCACAACTACTGAGCCCGTGCGCCTAGAGCCCGTGCTCCACAACAAGAGAAGCCACCTCAATGAAAGCCAGCGCACCGCAACGAAGAGTAGCCCCCGCTCGCTGCAACTAGAGAAAAGCCCAAGCAAAGCAACAAAGACCCAACGCAGCCAAAAATAAATAAATAAATATTTTTAAAAGGGGGGGGCCATCGGGGTTCCTATGTAGTATGGTATCACCAGTATTTAAAAGGGCAGCTGAGTCACTAAAAAGCCAGACCTCCACAAAAAAGTGTACACAAATGTTCATCACAGCATTATTCATAGTAGCCCAAGAGGAAACAACCCAAGTGTCCATCAACTGATAAATGGATAAACAAAATGTGATCCATACGAACAATGAAATATTATTCAGCAATAAAAAGGAATGAAGTACTAATACATGCTACAGCATGGATGAACCTTGAAAACGTTACACTAAGTAAAAGAAGTCAGTCACAAAAGTCTACATACTGTATGATTCCAATTGTACAGAATGTCCAGAATAGGAAATCTATAGAGATAGCAAGTAGATTAGTAGTTGTCTAGGGCTGTGGGTAGGAGTGGGATGGGAGGAAATGGGGAGTGAGTGAGTGAGTGACTGCTAACAGGTTTTTTCCTTTCTGGGGGTGATGAAAATGTTCTAAACTTGACTGTGGTTATGATGTACAACTTTGTGAATACGCTAAAAATCATTAAATTGTACATGCTAGATGAACTGTATGGTAAGTAAATATCTCAATAAAGCTATTACCTTTTTAAGAATCTAGTCTTAATAAACTCTGTGCCTAGAAATAAAATGGATAAGATAGGAAAAGAGTCACATAAAGATAAAGCCTCTGTTGACTTTTCCTGAAATTATGCAAAGAAATATGTATCTAATAAAACACATCATAGCAATCAGAACCTTGCCAGCTTAAATTATTATTCAAAAGGGTACCAAATTATTTACAAGAGGGCTCATTAAAAAACGCTGCTGGGTACTTTCAAAGTGATACTGCCAAGGTTACTGGGTAAAAAAAATATTGGCATAGTTTCAGATGATCCCACCTAAGGAATTAAATATTTGACTTCCTCCTTTAACTAATCTATGCCCTCTTCAAAAACATCTAAAACGCAACTGATATGCCTTCAGGGGCTGCAGTATTCAGTGTATTGACCCTGTTCTACAGCCAACAACTACAGATCAATGATATTAAAGTCAACCAGAAGTGAAGTCTAGGAACGGCTGAGGGACGGTATGAGTCATTCCAATAGTGGACTATTGGAGTTCTTTTTTAAAAAATCACTATGCACCAACAAGGTATAGCATAAGCATCTTTATCTGTTCTGGGTCCTGTTGGATAAACTCAGGGCAGGAAACCATCAGGAGGTGCACAGAAAGAACTCAGCCCCTTCCTGGCATACCCATCAACCGTGAGTCCACTGAGACAAACAGCCTTCCAGTGACACAGCAGTGACCGCTTACACACAGCGCCAAGTGTGGTTTTGATTATGAAATGTCACTGTTCTGTTAACTGAAAGTCACCTCTTTGGTTCTTTAGTTTGGGTTTAACTATAAGTGGATTAGTTCATCCCCACCCAGAGCTAAACTGTCTCAGCCTCATTCCACTGCAGAGAAGCAGTCTGGGTGTTTCAGGGGATCCCCATATTCAAAACTGCATACACAAGCCATGTTAAATTAGAGTGCTGCTGCACTCAGCAAAAGGAATACTTACTATTACAAACTGAAAGCCTGTGTCTCCCCAAAATTCATATGTTGAAATCTAATTCCCAGTGTGACGGTATTTGGAAGTGGGGCCTTTGGGAGACAATTAGGTCATGTGGGCAGAGCTCTCATGAATGGGATTAGCACCCTTATAGGAAGAGGAGGGGGCAGCTACGAGGAGAGCTACAGAGTCAACGGTAGTGTCCCAGTGCAGTATTAGAGGAGGTAGCACAGACCTGCACTGGGACTCAGCACTCCTGCTGTAGGGGAACTGACAATGACATCCTTAAACTGTAGAAGAAGGTCCAAAACAGATGAGCCTAACATAAACTGTGCTTCCTCAAGGGCAAGGGGCCAACAGCTGGGCAGTTTCTCTTTTAAATCCAGTCATTTGTCGGCCCCTCTCCAACATCTGTTCATTTCTAATTTAGGGGAAGTGCCTTTCCTGGCTCCTGTTTATGGGAAAAAAGGGTTAGGACCCTAAGGCTTAGAATGGACTGGGCCCAGGGCTTGGCCCCTATACTGTGGTAACAGCACTAAAATCTTGGTGGCTTATATTTCTCGCCCATGTCTTGTGTCCATCCCTTTTCAGCTGTGGTTCTGCTCTGTGTTGCCTTCCATCTAGGAACCAGGCTACTGGGACAGCCTTATGCCAACAACACTGCCCATCTCATGGCAGAGGAGAAGAAAGACAGTGAACCATGAGCTGCCTCTTACAGCTGCGGGTTAGAACTGACACATATCACTTCCTCTCACATCTCATTGATAAAAGCAAGTCACATGGCCATTCCTAAGTTCCACAGGGTAAGGATGTGGAAGCCTCTCACCAGGGGTGAAAAGCAAATAACTGTGAACAACCATTATGCGAATAATTATTATTATTAATACTTTTTAGGTATAAAAATTGTATTTATTTCAACCAAGGAAAGAAATCACAAGTTATGAATATTAAAAGCTGACCAACATCACAATATCTATAACTGCCTTAGACACTTCTGTAATACTTCTGATTTCTGAATTGCTGAATTTTATTTTCTTTTTTACACAGTTTAATTATTTTATACATATTAGTGTATCCATGTCAGTCCCAATCTCCCAATTCATCCCACCACCACCACCACCACAGCCATTTTCCCCCCTTGGTGTCCATACATTTGTTCTCTACATCTGTGTCTCTATTTCTGCCCTGCAAACCGGTTCATCTGTACCATTTTTCTAGGTTCCACATATATGCGTTAATATACGATAATTGTTTTCCTCTTTCTGACTTACTTCACTCTGTACGACAGTCTCTAGATCGATCCACGTCTCTACAAATGACGTAATTTCATTCTATTTTATGGCTGAGTAATATTCCATTGTATATACGTACATCTTTTTTTTCTTTAACATCTTTATTGGAGTATAATTGCTTTACAATGGTGTGTTAGTTTCTGCTGTATAACAAAATGAATCAGCTATACATATACATACATCCCCATATCTCCTCCCTTTTGCGTCTCCCTCCCTCCGACCCTCCCTATCCCACCCCTCTAGGTGGTCACCAAGCACCGAGCTGATCTCCCTGTGCTATGCGGCTGCTTCCCACTAGCTATCTATTCTACATTTGGTAGTGTATGTATCTCCATGCCACTCTCTCACTTCGTCCCAGCTTACCCTTCCCCCACCCCGTGTCCTCAAGTCCATTTGCTACGTCTGCATCTTTATTCCTGTCCTGCCCCTAGGTTCTTCATAACCATTTTTTTGATTCCATATATATGTGTTAGCATACGGTATTTGTTTTTCTCTTTCTGTCTGTATGACAGTCTCTGGATTCATCCACGTCTCTACAAATGACCCAATTTCGTTCCTCTTTATGGCTGAGTAATGTTCCACTGCATATATGCACCACAACTTCTTTATCCATTCGTCTGTCAATGGGCATTTAGGTTTCCTCCATGTCTTGGCTATTGTAAATAGTGCCACAATGAACATTGGGGTGCATGTATCTTTTTGAATTACGGTTTTCTCTGGGTATATATGCCCAGTAGTGGGATTGCTGGGTCATATGGTAATTCTATTTTTAGTTCTTTAAGGAAACTCCATACTGTTCTCCAGAGTGGCTGTATCAATTTACATTCCCACCAACAGTGCAAGAGGGTTCCCTTTTCTCCACACCCTCTCCAGCATTTGTTGTTTGTAGAATTTCTGCTGATGCCCATTCTAAATGGTGTGAGGTGATACCTCATGGTAGTTTTTTTTTTTTTTTTTTTTTCTTGCCTTATGCGGGCCTCTCACTGTCGTGGCCTCTCCCATTTGCGGAGCACAGGCTCCGGACACGCAGGCTCAGTGGCCATGGCTCACGGGCCCAGCCGCTCCGCGGCATGTGGGATCTTCCCGAAACGGGGCACGAACCCGCGTCTCCTGCATCGGCAGGCGGACTCTCAAGCACTGCGCCACCAGGGAAGCCCCTCATGGTAGTTTTGATTGGCATTTCTCTAATAATCAGTGATGCTGAGCAGCTTTTCACGTGCTTCT